TTGCTAAGGACGTCTGTTACATCTGTGGGTGGGAGACTGTGTCAACATGTAATTTATACTTCAACATTCCTTTTGGATCATATCTCACAAAAGCTATAGCTTAAAGACTTCAAGACCAAAGTCTCTACTGTTTTCTCCTCAACTAACGTATTTGTGGCTTGTGTGACAAGGAAATAGCAGAGGCTTCAGCCCTGCAGTCTCGTGAAGTGTTTGAAATCTTTTGAAGCCAAGTGAAGTTCATTGAAGTTTTGAGCTCTGCTGTTTCACCCTCGAACTTGTACACTCAGTAGTGTTCTCTACTCGACCAAAGCTCGAATGGTAGTCTAGTCTTCTTTTTGAGTTGCGAAAAATAAAAATTATAATACTTATGATAGAAAACAAGAAATAAAACATAAGAAACTGAATTCTTTAAAGAAACCTCAACGAAAATAGAAGTCTTTAAGGATTATTATAATAAAAAAGCTTACGACACTCGGTATTCCCAGGCGGTCACCCATCCAAGTACTAACCGAGCCCGACGTTGCTTAACTTCAGTGATCGGACGAGAACTGGTGTATTCAACGTGGTATGGCCGTAAGCAACTCTTAGTCAAAAAAAATTCGATACGAATTTTGAAAAGAAAAGAGTAGCAAAAGGAAAAAGAAAAAACTAATATTGACTTAACTCTTATTTTTGTTCTCATGCCATTAAAAAAAAGTTGTAAGTTGGAATAAGACGCATATGTGCATGAAAAACAACCATCTAAAACTCTTTTGACTCATGTTGGCAACAATAGCATTGATATTGTCACAATTGCAGAAAAGTTACTTTTGTAAGTTATGTTGTTTTAGAAAAACGTATAAATTATTTCAAAACCTGTTTTTAAATTAATCAAACTAATTTCTCAATATAAAATTGTAGATTAAACAAAATGAGTTAAATATAATAACATTATATTTCAACGAATATTGACAAAAAAATACTAGAATAATTCCAAAATGAATAATAGAACATCATTAGCAACATTAAAACGACAAACTGCTTATACACTAGATGTTGACATTCGAAAAGGAGAAAAAATCACTGGTGCATTTGGTAAAACATTTTATAGAGCAAATTGGATAAATCAAGAAGATTCTCCAGTTGTTTTACTTGAAATGAAAGTAAATAAAACAACCGACGAAGCTTTACTTTATATATCACTTCATCATCCACATATTATAAAAACTTATGGTCTTGTGGAACCAAATGGTCATATAATAGGTTCAGATTCAATATTACTTCTACAAGAATATGCTGAAGATGGTGATCTAGGTATATTATTGAGTGAACGATATTTTATTCCATCACAATATGTTCTTCTCGAAATCTTTATTCAAATATCAAGTGCAATGATTTATCTTTCTGAAAATGGTATTATACATGGTGATTTAGCATGCAGAAATGCATTAGTTTTTCAATCACATCCATATGAACCAAAACAAAATCTAGTTAAATTAATTGATTTTGGTTTAACACGAGATGATTCAATACCAAAAGATGTTAAAATTCATATTCCAATACGCTATGTTGCTAAGGAAATTTTACTTAGTCAAGGTCGATCAAATTATTCACAAAAATCTGACGTTTATTCATTTGGTGTTCTTATGTGGGAAGCTTGTTCATTCGGAGCAATACCTTATGTTGATATTAATGATGATCAAGAAGTTTCTCAAAGAAAACTTCAAGATAAAAAATTAACACGACCGAATAAATGTGATTCAAATATTTGGAAACTTATGAATATATGTTGGAATGATAAACCATATGATAGACCTAATTTTGACATAATTCATACACAACTTATGAATATTAAAAATATACAATCATCATCAACATCATCACTTACGTAAGATCGAAAATAAAAGATAATAATTTCTTCTATTATTTTTTCTTTTTTGTTAAGAAATTCAATTTTATCTTCATCTCGAATGAATGAAAAGAATCCATGTTTATTTAAGATCGAATATGAAACATGTAATGATTGTGGTTTACGATATACAGATTATGATTCTCATTTAAATAAATGCAATACACAAAAATTAACATGTTTTCAATGTGGTCAACAATATCAACGTGCAATTTATGATGATCATATGAAAACTTGTGCTCGACTATCTAAATCTATAATTAGTAGAAAACCAACATTACATAATAATTCTTATATATCGTTAGTTATTTCTTTTTTATGTAAAAATCTTATCTAAATGTATTGAATGATTTGCTTTTGTAGAATGAATGAAGAAAATCTATTGTTTTGTGAGTATTGCCTTGTGCAATACAGTATTGATGAGATCAATAATCATGAAGTATTTATTATTTTAATTGAATAACATTATTTATATCGATTAATTTTCAGAATTGTTTTCGTGACAAACAACAAAATCGTAAGTAATTTCTCCATGATCTAAAATATCGACATCATCATGTGATTATATAAACAGTTTCGAATTTCGAAATATTGAACTTTTTATTAAGATTAATGTTATTGGATTATTGTCGATTTTCATTCTAGGTAAAAATCGATATGAGATTGAAAATACTCGTCATTCAATCCCATTTGAAATCAGTAGTCAATCATCATCCCATCAAAATATCAATCAGAACAGTAATCACATTCTTTTTTCTCTTCAACTATAAAATAAAGACAAATATTTCTCTTTAAAGAAAAACCGTTAGATATACATGTCGTGTCATCAGATGATAACATATCATCCACAAATGCAAGAAGATTAAGTGTTCGAAACAATATACCGTATAAAATCTCTAACAATATTTCATCTTACTATATTTAATATATTCTAAATATTTTTTAAGAAAACCGACTACAACTCGATTACCCTGTGAAATATGCAACCGACCGATTGATGAATCAGAATTTAAAACACATCAAGTAATTATACAACATTTACGGTTCAGGAGAATCGTTCGAAAATCTTATCTTTGAGTTTATTATTAATCTAATTTTAGAAACAATGTATGGAAAATGATAGACGTCGCATTGAAGATAAAAGAAGGTTTCTTTTTTTTTGATTTTAAATTACTCGATTTTTTTTTATTGAGTCTACAGAAAAATCGAACAATCAAAATCAACTATAGAAGTTGAATGTACATTTTGTAATGGAAAGTATTCAACAGAGGAATTAGATAATCATCAAGTATGCTTCCAAAACAATTATAGTTTTTTATTCGTCCCTTTTTTTTACAGAATAATTGTCGTTTAAATCTAATGAATGTTTCTGATACATTGTCCATTCAATCAAGAAAGGAATCGACTTCAATTCCAAGTATTTTCTAATACAGGAATTTATTTACTTTCTAAACATTTTCTTTTGTGTAATAGATTTCCTGAATACATCTTTATATCGTGATTCATTCATATATTTTAGAATATCAGATCAAAGTCAGTTTTCTTCTTCTTTTTTTATAGACACTGATTTTCATTCAGAAAACACAACTAATACGACACAACCGAAACCGGTAAGTGAAAAATATTTATTTAAAATTCTAAACTTTAATAAATTGATTTTTTTTTTAATATCGAAGGTTGATAATAAGACAACAACATCAACTGCAAATAAGAACACACAATTGTAAGAGAGAATAATTTCATTTATTAAAAATTATTTTGATTGTTATATTATTACAGATCATGCTTTCAAAAATTTCTGTCACGTCTATTATCATTTACTAGAAAGTCATAAGCAAAACAATTTTCTTTCTTGATTATAAAATATTGTTAAAATTTTTTTTATTATGATATAATAATTGATAAATCTAATAAAAACTCTTGGGATCGGTAGACATTCAATAAAATAAAGATGTGATCAGATATTCATCCAACTTTGAGTAAGATCAAATACAGACGAAAAATGATAGGAACTTGAAAGCGAGAATTCGGTGACCGGATTTATTCAGTTCCTGCCGGAAACGGCATTTTTTTCTGCGGATTCCGATCGAAAATCCATAAATTCGGTCACTGGAATCATTGACCTGGGATATTATGCTGCTATAAACTATTATCATTCAGCATAATATAGAACGAAGTATTGAAATCATATTGTTGTCTACACGCAACCATTACATAAAATGATCATATTTTCATGTTCCACTAATGAGCATGTAGAGGTTAAAATATATTTATTATATTCTTTAAACAAGTATGAAAAAAAGTCTTATAATAACTGTGCATTTACAAAAAATTGACATGACTCAGAAAATTTATCTACATTGCACTATTTGAAACTGTACATTGCTCTCAATTTGATATTCCATGCGATAACTACTGTTGGTATACCGATCGGTGCAATATGCGCTATATCGGCTGTATTTTTTTTGAAAGTATTGTATGGAAACGAGTAAATATTTTTCATGTCACACGTTTGTTTGCACTACGACCGATATACTGCGATACTCATAACAACCGGCGATTGTGCTAATAATGGTTGTAAAGAATGTTTTCTTCCTCAAGTCGAATAATTTAGTAGAAAGAATTCAAATTAACTGAGAAGATAGAATATTTTGTAATAACAAAAAATTTTTAAAAAATGATAAAATATTTAGCTCATAACTGGCAACGATTTTGTGAGTAGTGCAGACAGCTCAGACGTATCAATATAATTGACGTGTATCGAAATCGACTCGGTTCTATCAGTTTTAACAGACTTTAAAAAAATATTCACTCATTTTGATATAATACATCATCGTACAACATTTTCAAAAAAAGCAACCAACAGTATAGTGCACTGTGTGGGGTCCGGTATACTGGTGATAGTTATTACATGGATAGTAATCTTTGTAATTGTTACTAGGACAGCCATATTCTCAGTTCGGTGAATGTCCTCTACAGACACTTCTTCTTTCGTTTTACATAATCCTATTGGCATATGCATCCTTCAATGGAATATCAACGTAATCATAATAGTAGTATGATGAAACATGTTTTTCATTATTTTTTCTTTTTGTAACCTGACATACATAAAATGTTGTCAGATTTAATAACATCTCTTTCATCAAATCCATATTTTGGTGCTGGTGCTGGTCTAATTGGTATAGGTACAGCATTAGCTATACTTCGTCGTTCATCTCAATATGGTTTAATATTTTTTCGTCGTCAATTTATGATAACACTTGAAGTTCCTAATAATGATATAAGTTATACATGGTTATTGCAATGGATATCACATCAATTACGTGATTCAAGTCGTCATTTAAGTGCTCGTACAACATTAATAAAAAGTGATGAACCATCATCACGTATTCAAGCATCATATACATTTGTTCCATCAGTTGGTACACATTATTTTCATTATAAAGGAAAATTTATTAAAGTTGAACGTACACGTGAACAAATGATTAATTCTGGTGTACCATTTGAATCTGTTCAATTAACTGCATTTGGACAAAATCGACAATTTTATATTGATATGTTGGAAAAAGCACGTGATGCTGCATTATTAGCTAATGAAGGGAAAACACTTGTTTATGTTCCAACAAGTGAGTTAAAGACAAATTTAATATCAATAAGAAAATTAATTTAGTTAATGAATGGCGTCTGTTTGGTCATCCAAGACGAAAAAGACCGTTGAATTCAGTTGTACTCGACAAAGGAATTCTTGAAAATTTAATAAATGATGTTGAACATTTCCTTTCAAATCCATTATGGTATATTGATCGTGGTATACCTTATCGACGTGGTTATCTTTTATTTGGTCCACCTGGTTCTGGAAAAACATCAGCTATTACGGCTCTTGCAGGTTTTCATTTAAATAACGAATGATCGGAAAGTTTTTAGACAAAAAATGTTTGTTTACAAGAAAATATTTTCAACAAGTCATAAGATATGATTATTAGGACCAGAATTTTATGTACTGTCGTTCAACACTTTTTGAACTATCTGAAAAGAGTGAGCCAACAGATTTTTTTTGTTTATCCTAAAAGTCCTTTTTCGAACTAATTTATTCACTTTTGACTCATCGCAAATACTTTTTTTTGTAAGACAAAAGTGAACAAACATTTTTGTCTAGAAAGTTTTCGATCATTTATTATATTTGATTTGATTATGAAATTATTAATTCTAGGACATTTTGATTTAAGTATTAGTACACTTAATTTAAGTCAAGGTACAATGACTGATGATCGTCTTCAACAATTATTAAGTAATGTACCTGAAGAAAGTATTATTTTATTAGAAGATATTGATGCAGCAACAGTTGGTAGACATTATGAAAAAGATGGTTAATAATTTAATTGATTTTTCAAATTAAATAATCGAAAATTTACTTTTCTTGTTCTAATAGATGCTATACGATATCAAGGCATGAAACCACTAACATTGAGTGGTTTATTAAATGCACTTGATGGAGTTATTTCAACTGAAGGTAGAATTATTTTTATGACAACTAATTTTATTGAACGGTATGATTTATTTTCTTTATATTTAAGGCCTCCGCCTCCGAAAAATTGATTTTTCCAAGAAAGACACTTTTTGAGATCAATGTATAGCCATGATTCCTGAAAGATTGAATTTGAAAATTCATATGAACAACTTTAAGATTTCTTCAGAAACCATGATGAATTTCTAGGGCTTTTCAGTGAAAAGGTCTATACTATATCCATAGGAAAATTATAAGCAGTTACGCTCCCCTACGTATAACTAGAAGGCCATTCGATAAGACTTCAAATGAATTTTCGTATTGGTGCATAGTATAACCATATTTGATGCTTATGTCAAAAAGTTCTTCAGATAAATATATAAAACAAAATATTCGCACGTTTTTTTTCGAAAGTGTGCGTTCTATTGAACAGTGATTTCATTTTATTCGATAGATAGATACATTCACTTTTGGATGAAGGAAAGGAATTTCATAAATCAAAGCAATTCTTAAGATTTTGAGAGCTTCATCCGAAGCGCTAAGGATTTCTCTTTGATATGAGAGTAGTCCGGATGCTGTAGCTTGAAATGTATTGAAAAAAAAGATTAGTGTACGTATGAAAGCCCATATTGCATTATGGCTTCTGGAGAGTAAGTCAAAGAAATGTTTTTAATAGCATACTTCCATTAGTCGAACGTGAAAGTTTCATGCACTATATCGAAAATTGATTTTGTAGGTGGGAGGTGAGAGGTCTCAATAAATAATCAATTGTTATTTCCTTTTTAGTCTTGATCCAGCATTGATTCGTCCTGGTCGAGTTGATTATAAACAATATATAGGTCATTTAACACCATATCAAGTTGAACGTATGCTAATTCGTTTCTTTCCTCAATCAACTCGTAATGAAATTAATCAATTTCTAAATGAAATCGAACGTTTAACAGATAATTATTCAAAAGAATTAAGTGCAGCACAATTACAAGGATTTTTTATGTATTATAAAGATTCTATAAAACATGTTTTTGATAATATTAATCAATTATATTATTTATAATTGAAATAAAATTTATTAACGAAAACATGAAATTAAAAGACGAATACAACAACCTTTTCTTTGTGTACCTTTTACACCATTAACATCAAAATGAATATATTTACGTTCATCAATACGACTTTCACCTAGAGGAAGATATATTTCCCACATTGTTAAAAGATCTAATGGAATAAAATCATGTTTATATGCATAATCAACAATTACATCTCTTTGATTGACAATAATATGCTGAAAGAAAAAACAAAAGAGACAAATAATAAAAGATAATTATATTTTATTGAAAATATTTAACTGTAATAGAAGCATTAAATGCAATTGATTTATCAGGTTGAATCATTGTAAGTAATTCAATACAATGACCAATTATATTTCTATGTGCAACGATAATTTCAAATGTTGTTCTAGCAGCATTTTTTATTGTTTTTTTCTTTAAACGAAAATAATCATGTTTTAATGCATGCCAATTACCTTAAATGATTTTTTTTAATTAATCGACAACTTTAAACAAAAAAATATAAGTATTCCTGAAAAATGAATAGTGTTAAACGAGTTTTTAAAATCTATTGTCACCACAAAGACACAGCACCTACTGCTTTAAAAATCAATCAACTGTAATGAAAGCATTCTTATCATCAGATTCTTATAAATTGAATTTTGTCATTGTCTCTTCAATAAATTTTTTTAAAATTTATCATCACTACAGATTATAGGATTTACCTCTGATTGGAATTATTCTTAATTGGAAAAAAATTCCTCACATGAAAAACTTTCCAAATTCGTAACCTCACTTTTGTCCTTAATTAATTTGTGAAGAAATATTAATAAGAAATTCTATTAATTGAATGATCATCTGACATTTACTTTATTGAATTCATACTTGTTAGCAAGTAGGGATCTGCGGATCGTTTCAGATTCGAATTCAGATCCAGAAGTTTAGCTTTTCTCAAGTCTGCAGAAAAAAGTGCATCCGCAACTCCCTACTATCAAGTTTCATACCAGTAAGATTATCATTTGCATATTCTTTAAGACGAAACTCAAGCATGGAAACGGTGTAGATGCAGGAAGCGTGGGTTGGTAGGTCCTTTGTATACACCTATACCTCCATGTGTACCTACTATATATTGATAGAACAATTATGCCAATAATTGAATATTAACTGCAATTAGTTAAAGACAAATATAAAGAGACCAATTTACTAGGGATTTATATGGTCCTAGTTGAAGCGCCACTCAGAAATAATTCTGTAATTATATATTCTGATAGAACTTGAGATTCTCTATCATCCTATATATTTCTTTTGTGTCTTACTATTCAATTCTGATGAATAGTTTGAATATTAGGTAAACACAATCATGGGAAAATGTTGTAAAATAGCTTTTTCTGTTATCGCTTTCCTGTACAACGTCATAAAAACTCCGCCGAGTGCTTTGAGAATATAAAATTATTATTTTTTTAAATGTGTTTTTATGGTGACACTAGATTTAAGAAATGGATTAAAACTTTTTCTTTTCAAGAGTATATATATGTATATATGAATATGCTTGAAATTATGATTTCCTATATTTGAATTTAGTCAATGAAAAAATAAAATCAATTTTCCCAACGATTAGAAATCCTTTCGAGTAACTTCTACATTTTTTTTTCTGACATTCAAAACTCATTTTTCTAGATAAAATTTTAAGTGAAAACTATTTTATTAGTAAAGGTCAACTTGTAGATATAATTTATCTTAATCTATAAAATATTAATATCAAATTTTTCTTTTCTTATCTAAATCATTTTCTTTATTAGTTTTCGATTAAAAAAAAAAAAAGAAGAAATATTTATTATTTTGTTCTTTGTCAATTTTAATGATCAAATTTTATGCAATAATATTAATTACCTTCAAGTAAAAAAGTAAATAATAAATTATGTTCTCGAAAATCAGTATCAATTGAAAAATATTCAATATCAATTTTTTTCATTAATTTTAATTGTTTATAAATGATTGTTGCTGTTTCACGTGTTCGAATCACTAGAAAAAAAATATTATTTTCTTTATTTTTTCTAAATTCTTTTTTTTACTATCTGAATGTGTTAATGAATCGAATAAAACATTATCTGGTAATTGTGATATAAGAAAATTAGCTGCATACCAAGCTTGTTTTTGTCCTCGAGCAGTTAAATGTCCATCGGATTGTGTTCGTTGTCGTTGATATTGACCATGACGAACAAGAAATAAATGACGAACTGGTTTATTATAATTTTCACTTAATTCAGATTGACTATCATCCGTAGAACTTTTATTTGATATACTTGAACTATCCGTAGTTAGTGTTGTTTCTGTATTTGTATTTGTATTAACAGACCATTTACGTCGTTTGACTATTAATGACATTATGGATAAGGTGAGATGAAAAAAAAGAGCGCGCGCCTGTTTTATTTCTTATTTTTATTTTAAAAAAGCAAAAAAAAATATATATATTTAATTTGAATGAGTATTTTCAATATAATTATCATGTGGTACTATTCCTAAATCACCACGACAATAATGAGTATTTGTTTTTGTTGATGAATTTGGATGACTAATTCAAAAAAAAAAAAGAAAAAAAATTTTCAATTTAATTCCTTGATGAATATTTCTATACGCACATTCCATGTAGGCCAAGTCGTGATCCTGGAAAAATTCCTTTTAGAAAAGGTGACTTTTTTTGTAATGGCAATGAAGTTCCACCCAAATGATGTGAAATTAATAGAAGTGATAATAATTGTTCAAGCATATCATTACGTTTTTCGATTTTTAATGTTTCATTATTATCATCTTGAGACTAAATATATTCAAAAACATATAGATTAAAGTCATCATCATATATGAATACAAATGAAATTATTTAACTGTCTCATACATATATATTAACATTCAATCTGGAATCCAACATTGAATAGACATTAATTAAAGTTATTCCCGAATTAATCATGTATAATAAGTTCAATCTAAGATTTCTCTTAAAACTTTAGGTGAATCTTCGGTTGACCTAGGCTAATGGTGGATTGAAAGATTAATACGATCAATTTCGAATTAGACACAAAGTATATTTCATTAATGAGGTACGAAGCATAGCATTTCTATATTCCTTCGCGAGTTTTCTTCTGTCCTTCTTCCCTTACGTACGCATCAAAATTAGGCATTTCGTGTCGCGAATAATCTCAGGAATGGAAAATCAGGAAAAATCTGTTGAAACGCAAAATGAAAGAATCGAGAACAAGTCGTAGAAATTCATTTTCCCATTCTTCACTAAGATAAGCAGTTGGATTAGAAATAATTTAGGAAAAAGAGGAATTTGAAAAATTTTATGCTCGAGATAATTAAAATGATGATACCAAGAAAAGTTAGCCACAAGTCTTTTCGAGCTATTGAAGTAATTCATTACAGCTGTAAGTCAGCTAATAATAAAGTGATCGCGAGGATAATTAATTGATCAAATATAAATATCTGACATCTAGAAAAAAAAAATGCATCTAAGCTCTCATAGAGGTTTCATAGTTATAAATGGCAGTATGCCTATCGAACTTAATTAGATTGCAACAAAAAAAATGATCTGTTAATACGGTGCGAACCACAAAATTTATGTAGTTCTTCGGGAGGTTTTTTCTTTTACTTTGTCGACGTACAAATGAAAACTTGTCACTTTGTTACTGAATGATCTCAAGGATGAAAAGTCATAAAGTGCTCGTTGAAACTTTAAGTGAAAGTATCGACATCGAACCACTACTTTTTTTTTCAATTTTCCTTCCAAGGCATTTCGTTTGTCAGCAAATCGTTTCAAAAAAGACAAAGTTTTCAGAACTGTTTTTTCTATTTTGAGATAATTAAAAAACGAAAAAGAAATAAAAGTTAGGCACCATCGTCTTAGCTCATCTGTCAAACAGCTGTAAGTGCGACTGATCATAGATAATGAATCATTCAGATAAATAAATGATTAATCAACAGTATTCTTTCTTTAAGAAGAGAAAAATATCAGCGTCCTCAGCAGATTGTTTCTAAGCTTTCGTAACATTTCCATAGTTATGAATTGTCGTATGAGTTCTACAATTAATTATTAATGCGATGCGAAGCATGAATCTCGACATTGTTTCGAGAATCGTTTTTTTTGTTTTTTATCAGATATCATTTTCCAGAGATATAGAGATTCGTGCTTCGCACCATATTTCGTATTCGAGAGAATCTCAATCATCATCTAGTTCTATATGAATATGTTGGTTCAATATTATTTGCTTATGTTTTGATATTATAGTTTGTTAGAAATAAAATTTCATCTGCCATAGCCTAACTTTTGTTTTAATGTAATATGCTAGTCGATTCGAGATTGACTTACACAAATCCAACATTGATTTAGGTGGTTTCTGAGGTTTGCTTAAAATTTTCAAGCGAATTTTATATTGGACGTATTGTAATTGATCAATCAGAAAATGGCCTGAATTAATATCCGTTCAATGTTGGATTCCAGATTGGACGTCAACATATATATATATATATATACATTTATCGCGAGAGGAAAAAGTAGTGTGATAGTTATGATATACATCATTTATTTTTCTCAAGTTAGTATATTTTCTATTTTAACAATTAATTATAATTGATTTCTATGTTTTATTATTTTTATTTTGTGTTAAATAAAAGAATGCATTATATGATTATCACGATTTTAGAATTTAAAAAGTTTTCTTATTTTACTGTGTAAGAATATGACGATTGTTCAATAAATTTGAGATAGACATTTTTTTTTCCCTTGCATAAGAATATTATATATATAGTGTATATTCTTTCTTTAATAATTAATATCAAGTGATTTCTATATCATGAAAAGATCAATACATATCCTTTGATAGTTTATATATAGTGACGCTCGAAATTGATCATAGACCTAATCAATCGCCTTGTTTTTCTGATACCTCAAGATGCTTTCAACAGATTGAGTTGCAGTTTTTGACAAAACGTAGGTCCATCTTGATAGTTTACTTACTCTTTATTAGCTCTCTATGACATTTATATCTACTCTGTCAAATTAGAAATACTAAAAATGATATCAATGAAAAGACATAGATAAAATACGCGATTGTTTATCTTAATACGTCCTTTTATTTTTGTATGATCAATTTTGAATGACCGCAAAGTGCATCATTTTTAGTATTTCTAGTTTGATATACAGAGCTAATATTTCTTTTTAATTAAAAACAAAATATTTCTTTTAATTAAAATTTATTCAAAATATATTTTCGATAATATTTCAAAACTATCATTTTGAAAATCAATGCATTTAAAAATAAATAGTTTGGCAGTCTTATTCTCTGATTGGTCTATATATTGCAATAATATAGATTCGTTTTCTTTTGGCCTCTTTAGTCTGTAGAATGTCCTTACCGCGTGACAGTACACATAGAATGTATTTTTTTTTGTCGTGTATTTTGCGTTCTCTTTCTAAATACATATATATGGACCAAACTATTTTTATCTCACAAGCTTATATACAATATGATTTTTTTACACGAAGAATATTTTTCTTCGTATCGAAAGGAAATGTTTAAAGTTATGTCTAGATCGAAAAAGTATTTGAAGTAGGTCTACAATTATTACTACTATTTTCACTCATTGATAAGGTATTTAAACCATTTTTAAATATAAGGGTATCAAAAAAATTCAAAATTTTAGCAAATTTTTATTTTTGATTTATTTAATGTCGTTGAATAAAGCATATCAAATGACCTATGAAAAGCTATATTTTTCGAAATTAGTTTTTCCTGGAAATATTGAAGAAAAAGACAAAATTCTAAATAATATAGTTTGATTCGTCCATTGTCACAAATATGTAAATATTTAATTTGTTTGCACTTTGTAGAATATTATAAGGGTTATTTACTGATACTACATACAAAATGGACCAAAATAGCCCTACGCACATAAGGCTTTTTTTGATCAATTTTATATACAGTATCAGAAAATAATCCTTATAATATTCTACAAAGAGCAAAAAAAATCAAATATTTGCATATCTGTGGTAATAGACGACTCGAATCATGATATTTAGAATTTCATCTTTTTTCCAATATTTTCAGGAAAAACTTGTTTTCAAAAATGTAGTTTTTCATAGATAACTTGATATGGTTTATTTAACGGCATTAAATAAATTGAAAATAAAAATTAAGTTAAACTTTGAATATTCGATATTTTACCTGAACAACATCAGTAATTGATATTGCTGCTTGTTCAATAATATTTTTTAATAAATTATTTTCTTCTTTTAAATTTGTTATTTCAATAGATTCATTTTTTTGTTTAAGATTATTTTCTTCGTTAAAAAGCATTTTGGTTCTAAATAAAAAGTTTTATATAATAATTAAAACTAAAATATTATTTTTAACTTACGATTCTTTTTCGATTGTTTCTTTGGGTATAAAAATTTCATTAACAATATTTTTTTGTTCTTTACACTCTTTTAATTTCTTACATAACATTTGAATAATCTATGAATTTCAAACAAAAAAAGAAAATTTTTTTTTTGTTTTTCGTCGTTCTCATAACATACATTTTCAATTGCGATATATTTTTTAGCTGATTGTATTTCAACATCTTCTAAAATAGCAACTGTTCGTGTTAAATGTTGATTATCTTCTGTATATTTTTTATTAATTTCAATAGATTTTTCTAATTGATTTGATAGATAATCAATTTGATTATTTAAATAGAAATTTTCATGTATAGCACGTTTTATTGTATTTGACATTTGATTTTTTGTATTATGACGAAATTCAATAGCAAGATCATTTAAATATTCAATTGCTTCTTTTTTTAATCTAAAAAACAAAAAAAAGAAATTGAATAAAAAGCAGATTTTTTTGTTTTTTTGAAATAATAAATAACCGATTTTTAAAAACTATTAAAGCTATTTCCATTTCATCTAAAGCTTTTTTATATGCATCTTCTTTTGCTAAAATTAAATTTTTTAAGTCGTCAATTGTTTTTTCCATCGTTTGTCGTTGATATTCAAATTCTTCTAAAGCAACTAAACGTGTTCCTAAAAGTAGAAAAAAAAAACATGTGAATTATTTATTTATTTGTCAGATAAAAAATTAAATTACTAAGTAACATATTTTCATTTTCAAGTTTTTCAATTTCTAATTGATGTTTTTCTTTAAAAGTTTGTAATTTTTTTTCATATAAATCTTTTTCATAATCTTTAGCTTGTTGTAAACCAATTAGACGATCATTTAAATCAAAAACTTGTTCATTACGTAATTCAAGTTGTTTTTTTAAATAAGATGATATATCACGTTTATCTTTAAGTAATATTTCAAATTGATCACCATATGAACGACACATTAATTCAAGTTCATCACATTTTTTTTGATATCTAAAAAAACGAAAAACTTTTGTTTTTCTTTCTTTCTTTCTTTCTCATAGATCTAAGAATGTTTCGTATATTTACTCGTCGTAGTTCAACTTATGCAAATGTTTATCGATTAAGTATCGAACATCCAGAACAATTTTGGAATGAACAAGCACAAAAAATTTTTTGGTTTAAAAGATGGAATAAAGTTTATAATAAAAATAATCTTCTTAGACCTCATTGGTTTCAAGATGGACATCTTAATATGTCATATAATTGTCTTGATCGACATATTTCAAAACATGGTAATCAAACAGCTATTATACATGATTCTGCTATGACTGGTAAAGTAGCTCATGTAACATATAAAGAACTTTTAAAACAAGTTAAAACATTGGCAAATGTTTTAAATAAAAAATATAATGTTAAAAAAGGTGATGTTGTATTAATTTATATGCCAATGATACCTGAAGCTATTGTTGCAATGTTAGCTTGTGCTCGTATTGGTGCTATACATAATCTTGTTTTTGGAGGATTTAGTGCTAATGAATTATCAGTTAGAATTAAACATTCAGAACCTAAACTTCTTATTTCTGGTAAGTGAAAAAAGAAGAACAAAAACAAAAACATATGATTTACTTTGAAAATCTTTTCAAATAAAATTTTTCAATATTCTTTTTTTCTTTCTTTTTGTTTTTGTAAAGCTAATGTTGGATTTGAACCTCAACGAACAATTAATTATAAAACAATTGTTGATGAAGCTATTAAAAAAAGTGGCATTAGTAATAGTGCATTAAAATGTATTATATTCAATCGACCAGAAGGAAAATCAGCAGATTTAATATCTGAAAGAGATCGAGATTGGAAAGATGTTATGGATAGTGCACGTGATTATAGTGATTGTGAACCTGTTGAATCTAATCATCCTCTTTATTTACTTTATACATCAGGTATAAAAAATAAAATTAATTATTCATCAAACAAAAACAAACACAAAATTTTTCTTTCTATTGAAAATTGTATTTGAAGGTACAACAGGTACTCCAAAAGCAATTGTTCGTCCAACTGGTGGCTATGCTGTAGCATTACAATGGACAATGAAATATTTATATAATATTCATCCTGGAGAAGTTTGGTGGTCTGCTGCTGATCTTGGATGGGTTTGTATTAGAGAAAAAAGTTCATGTATTTTATTACTATTTTTCTAAGGTCATTGGTCATTCTTTTGGATGTTATGGTCCGTTATTAAATGGATCAACAACTATTATATATGAAGGAAAACCTATTGGTACACCAGATGCATCAGCATTTTTTAGGATTATTAATGATCATAAAGCTGTTAGTTCATTTTGGTCACCAACTGCATTAAGAATAATTCGTCAAAATGATCCTGAGAAAAAACATGCAACTAAATATAGATTGAAACATTTTCGAGCTTTATTTCTTGCTGGTGAACATTGTGATAAAGATACATTATACTGGGCAAGAGAAGTATTTAGTGACAAACCAGTTGTTGATCATTATTGGCAAACAGAAACAGGAGCACCTATTACAGCTGTCTGTTTAGGCCTTGAAAAACATCCAGTAAGAGAATGAACGAAAAAAAAACAATTGTCTTTTCTTAAATCCAAAAAATTTTTTTTTAAGAACCTTGGTCCACCTGGTTGTGCAGGACGTCCATGTCCTGGTTATGATTTACATTTATTTTCTTCCGATCCAAAATCAACTGAAGAAGAAGAATCTTCAAATAATGAATTAGGTCGTATTGTAGTTAAACTTCCATTACCTCCAGGATGTTTTACAACATTATGGAAAAATGATGAACTTTTTCATGAACTTTATTTTACAAGATATCCTGGTTATTATGATACAACAGATGTTGGTTTACGAACAGAAGATGGATTTATTGAAACATCATCTCGTGCTGATGATGTTCTTAATGTTGCTGGACATCGTTTATCAAGTGGACATATTGAAGAAGCTATTATTGAAAGTGGAAAAGTATCTGAATGTGCTGTAATTGGTTTAAAAGATGATATTAAAGGTCAACAACCATTTGCATTTATTGTATTAAATAAAAACGAAGAAAATACTGAGTAAGTTAAATAAAGAATATTGCTAGATAAGATCGTAAATGTATCACTACTTTAGACTTCATCTTTAATAGAATCGAAAGATAGAGCATGAAATTCTGTCTAGTTATTTTGTTCTTTGTTTTTTTGAAGCTAAAACAAAAAAAAATTTCATGGAAGGTTTATCACTTTTGAACGTTTTGAATAATAACTATGATATCCATAATTTTTCTATAGTAAACTCAATATGAATACAAATAGCATAGATCGAGGCAATTTTTTATGCTTTACAAAATAACATAGTGATCATATTAACCATTAATGTCTGCCTAAGATTATATAGAATCATTGAGATGCAATATCGTACTTGTTTGACCTTGCATAAATTAATCGATATGTCATTTTTTAGAAAAGAAAAAAACAACAGTTTTCATATAGAATTTGCAAAAGAAAAAAATCCCGGTTACCATAGTTATTATCATAAGACAGCCAACAGTGACATTATCCGGAAGGCTATTTAGTTCATAAAAACCTTTTTTTTTGTTTTTTGTATTCAATATGCAAAATTTCATGTTCTATCTTTCTATTCTATTCAAAATAAGATATAAGAAGATGACAGATTTATACGATCTTATCTGGCGATAATCTTTGACTTATTATTTATTTATTTATTTTATTTTATTTTATTTTGTTTTTATAGTTCTACAGAAATCGAAAAAGCTATTGTAACAACTGTTCGACAAGAAATAGGTCCTGTAGCAGGATTTAAAAAATTTATTTGTGTTAAACGTTTACCAAAAACACGTTCAGGAAAAACTGCACGAAATACATTAACTGCTTTACTTAATGGAAAATCATTTCGTATTCCAAGTACAATTGAAGATGCAACTGTTTATGATGATTTACGTAAAGAACTTTCACAAGCTGGTTATAAAAATCTTGGTCAATCAAGTGAAATGTAAACATACCTGATTAAACGTGGTTCTAAGGCATTTATTTGATCTAAATAGAACTCTTTTTGTTCTTCGGTGATAACTGATGAATTGTCATTTTCTTTGTTATTAATATTTTTCTTTTTTTTTAATTTGTTCTTTGCTTTTTTATTCTTTTTTTTTAATGATGACATTATCAATATTTAATTAGACAAGCAGTAGTAGTAGCAAACAAAGTTTATATTATCAATATATTTATTTTATGGCGGCAATCTTTTTGTTTTATAAATATTGTTCATTTTATTTGTTTTTTTCTTTTTTAATCAAAATTTGAATATATTGTTATGTTAAACATATTACAATAATTTTAATTAAACATCTTCTAGAATAAATTTATTTCCGTAATATAAGAAAAGAATCAAATTTTTTTTGTATTGAATTAGTATTCATAGTTTATTTGATTCTAATATTTAGAAAAATATTTAAAATAATAACCTGATATGTGTTTTTTTCATTGTTTTTTGATCGTATTCTATAACCAGTTTTTACTCAATAAAAAAAGAAAAGAAAATAAAAATAAAACTAAATCAGTCTTGCATTAATAATATTACACTAGATTATTTCTAGAGTTTATTTCTTCTACATATTTTTCTACTGAAAAAATGATGAGAAACCTCTCTAGAAAAAAAAAAGAACGATAGAAAAAAGAAAGGAAATAGTGAAGGATGACTTCTATCACAGAAAAAGACAAAGATAAGAAGCATCATTATGCATTCATTTCACAATTAGATACTCTCGAGAAGAAAATTAGTGAAGAGAGAAAGAAAAATCCCCTCTCTTTTTTTTTTGTATGATGCTTAGTTTTCTGTGACTTTTTACATACGTTAGCTACTTGAAATCTAACAAACAAGAAAATCTAGTCTATAAAAAAAAAGTATGGGATGTGCACCATCAATTGGACCTCCAACAGCGATAAAACCAGCCGAGCATATGGAAACAAATCATAATCGTATATTTACAATTGACGAAAGACTAAAATTAAAAGAAGTATGGGTATTAGTTAAACAAAATAATTTAAAAAAATTAGGTGAGGATATTGTAGCAAGGTAAGAAAAATTAATTTGAATATATTAAATCATATCTTCTATCTTTTTCTTTTTTTTTTTAAATTTAGAGCATTAGAAAAAAATTCATCATTAATTAGTTATTGGCAAAATGCACTTATTATTGATCAAAGAAATAATTTAACATTTGCTGAGAATGATTCAATGTTAGATACAGATTTAATATGGAAACAATGGTATAAACAACATGGTTATAAAATTCTAGATAAAATTGATCAATTAATTATGATTATGGTAACACGTGTGACAACACCAAATAGTAATGATAGTATACTTGATGAATATTTTCATCGTATAGCTGAAAAACATGTACAATATAAAATAAAACAAGATCATGTTGATGTAAATTAATTCGATATATTTATTTTATATATATTTTGTTTTTTTTTTTAGATCATATGTGAATGTTTTATTGATTGTTTAAAAAATTTAATGTATCAAAATCGAAATGAATGGACAATAAAACATGAATTAACATGGATAAAATTATTTACTTTAATAACAAATCAATTTATATCACCAACATCAACCAAAACTATATCATGATATTATTGTTTATTTATTGTTTCTAATAAAAATATCGCTCAAGAACATTATCATTTACAATTTATTTTATTATTAAAATCAAGTAGATCTTTATAGTTAGGAATAAATGCCAAAAAAAATTGACCTTGAAGAGAGAACAATTATTTTAAAAAATTTTAGCTTTTACGACAAAAATTTTCTTTTTGATATCCTGTTCGTGATGTTTTACATTAAAAAAAAAAGAAGATTCATGTTACGCAGATTCCTTTTTTTTTTTTTTTTTTAAACTAACTTCTTTTTTTTTTTTCTTCGTACTGAATTATTAATTATCTTACATAGAAACGAACGTGTTGTTAAGCTCCTTTTATTAACGTCACGAGAGTTTTTAAAAAATCTTTATCTTAAGAAGGAGAATGCCAACATGATTGAAAAACTATTTAATTAAGCATAAAGGGAAAAAGAAAAAGGATACATCTGTCTATTAACCTTTTTGTTTAGAATCATTCGACTTTTTACAGCAACGATAGGAATGTCCTAAAAGAATTTTTTTTTTTGCTAAAAATAAATAAAACTTTTTTTTTGTATACATAAAATATGTCATTTTACAATTATTTTAATCAATATAGAGCTGTTAAATGTTAAAGAATAACTGAAATTTTAGTATTTCATGGATATTGACTTATTGAGAAAAATTCTCGCATAGATATTATATGAGATTCAAAAGGATTTTCAAGAATTTCTTTTTTTTTTTATATTCAGTTATTTTGTTTATATTTACTTAAACATTCTTCTATTATAAGATCAAGCTCATGTCAATTTTTATTAAGTACATTTTTTGCATGAATGAACATTTAAAAATAAATATTTTATACAAATAAAGTAAGAAACAATTTCATCTTGGAAAAGATTTGAAATAATCAAGATTGAATATATGATAAATCTTACTAGTTGTCTTTATTTATCAATTTCGGACATAGATTTTATTTCTCTCTGATGAAATATCCAACATATAATTGAAAAAAAAAATTCGATTTACAGAACAAACTTTCTTTGTTTTTTTTCTTTTTTGTTCATCAATAAGATCGACAAAACTAATACTGAGCCGATGGCAATAAACAAATCTTTCTATGTCTATATACTGTAGCTATTTTCAGGAAATAAATAATCCAGTTTTATAATATTACTGTCACGAGCTTATTGTCAAGAAAAAAAATACAAATTACATAAATAGAATGAAAACTAAAAGTATGTATAGAATGACTTTATATATATATATATATCGATTATATTAATTAACACTCGAAGTATTGTTTATCAAATGAAATTACAACGAAATATACCTTCTCACATTAGCCTAGAGAGAAAAACAATATTAATTTCTCTTTTTTTGTTTTTATGACACATAAGATGTATGTCAAAGAGTAACTAAAGCTTTCATTTCTTTTGATACAATAGAAAATAAAAATACCTCGAGAAAGAAGCAATTAAAAAAGGATTCCAGCATCAAGGTTTAATAACTTGCAGCTGTCATCTTTTCCCAATGAATTTTCATATTTCTGTAATTTCATTTATAACATTAAAGAGAAAATATTCAAAATAAAAAAAAATTAACAAGAACAAGATTTCAGCTCTTTACGAAATCTTCACTTCATATTTTGATCATATAAGATTCTAGTTTAAGACAAAAAGTAATTTTTCAGATGACTGATTATTATTAACTACGACTATTTATATATCAAAATGTTGTAAAGATTTCTATTTGTATTCAATTCTTTACATATACTTCAAACAATATCCTGTATTTTAATCATATTGTTGCAAGAGTATAAATGTTTAAAATAGAAATAACGTAAGTGCTTTGTTTTTTTCTTGATGAAAGAACATACGTGAAAAATTAATAATAGTAATCAGTCATAGATGGCGGAACGTTTTGATTGTAAGATGAACTTAATATTTTTTATAAGCATTTCATCTGGAAATTAAAAGTGAAACAAAAATTTTACTTAGATCAAATATAATTAGTGTTTCTTTTATTGAACTCATATTTTGTACCGAGTAAAAACGATGCAGGTCAAAAAAAAAAACTATGCAACATTTGAAAGAAGAAATTCTAATCTGATTTATCGGAAAAATAAATTTACTAGCGAAGCAGAAATTTTTCACAGAAAAAAAAAAAAGATTTTCCATTGTGATCTTCTTCACTGTTGAAAATATTTAATAGACATGCAATCTTAGTCGTCGAAGATAAAGGAAAATTTTGGCAGATCGTAGTTAATCTGCTTCAGATTTTTTTGAATAATTCTTCTTCACTTGTACAAAACTCAATGTTTTCTCAAAAACATTTTCTATGTCTGCTTAATTGAGAATTTGTTATTATTAGCTGTCGAAACTGGCGACAATTATTGGCATCGATACAAAAAAACGTAATACATTGCTCAAAATCTATCAACAATCTGATGGAAGGAGAAAAGTATTTAAGCCAACGAAGCGTGAATCTAAAGTACTGTACAGTGTTTCGCATCTTTCTCAAATCAACTTTTTCATGAAAAAAAAAAACTTCAGAAACGCCCTCGTTTAGAGTTCGTCGGGTTGGTCCCGAGCCCGGGCTCTACATCCGTCCCTCCGGCCTAGTACATCCGATTGAGGTGCGATTTTTTTTACATATGTTATATACTGTTTGCGATGAGTATTTTTTTTATCGTTCTGCTGATAGTGTCTTGTGTCTGTAAAAAAATGTTTAGCTCAATCGAGCATAACATCTCGGAGACATGAATATGCCATTTTTTCGCCATTATGATCCTAGTATCTCATAGAAGATGGCACTTAGGAAGTTTGAGTCTATGACAATTTTTGCTCTACTCGTTAAGATCTACCTGCTTTGAAAATTTCAAATTTTTGTTTGTTTTGATGAGCCATTTTCCAGAAACTTCAGAAAAAAGAATTTCAGATTTATCTAGTTAAATTATACCAATTTATTTTTATTGATCTAGTAATAGAATTTATCAACTAACAGAATATTAAAATCTTACATATATAGATGTCAGTCTGCGTCATAAATCTTCGTTTGATTATAAAAAGATAAGTTTGAATAAGAGATAAATTCGAATTTTATTTCTTAAAACTATTTTCTAATTCTAAATAAGAAAAACTTGTTAAAATAAACATAATATCATCCTCTATAAATCTTAATCTTCATTCCTATTCGTTATGATCTAATCATATAGAGAAGATTCCCATTGTTCTTCTTCAGAAGTTTTCGATTGCACCTAATTGACCATCTACAACAATTATACAGTGAAATTTCAAATTTCTGTTTTTGTTTTACTTTAGTTAAGTGATTTATTTCGTTTTGTCAATGGCAAACAAAAGTATTGCTGTAAGTCTTTTATTAAGTCTTTCGTTAATCTTATTATTATTTTTTTTTTCTTTCTCTTATTAGGATATTCAGCATCAAGGTAAATTTTTTGTTGAACCATCAACAACTGCTGGAAAATTAAATACCGCAGATTGGCCACTTCTTCTTAAGGTAATTTTCAAAATTCTATTTTTTTTGTTCTTTTATTTTATTACGTTTTTATTTTTTAATTAGAATTTCGATCGTTTAAATGTTCGTTCGAATCATTATACACGTAAGAAAATGAACTTTTTTTTTAAATAAAAAAAAAAACAAATAATTTTTCTTTTTTAGCCATTGCTGAAGGTTGTTCACCGTTACAACGACCTATTGAAGATTATATTAAGTAAATCAATAACTAAAAAAAAAAAGCAAAATCTTCTAAGAAATAATAATATATCTATTTTTAGATCAGGTTTTATTAATTTGGATAAACCAGTAAATCCATCATCACATGAAGTTGTTGCATGGGTTAAACGTATACTTTGTAAAGCATTACCAGTATCAAAAACAGGTCATTCAGGAACATTAGATCCTAAAGTATCTGGTTGTTTAATTGTTTGTATTGAACGTGCAACACGTCTTGTTAAATCTCAACAATCAGCTGGAAAAGAATATATTGGTGTTGTACGTTTTCATTCGCCCATTGATGATATCAAAAAAGTTGAACGTGTAAATTATCAAAAAACAAAAAAAAAATTTTTTTTTAATATTCAAAAAGTTATTTAAATTTTTAGACACTTGAATCTTTAACTGGTGCCGTTTTTCAAAAACCACCTGTTATAGCTGCAGTTAAAAGACAATTACGTATTCGAACTATTTATGAAAGTAAATTATTAGAATTTGATCAACGACGAAATATTGGTAAAATTTATTTTTATTTTTTGAGAAAAAAAAAACAAAGAAAATTTATAATATTTTTTAGGTATTTTTTGGGTTAGTTGTGAAGCTGGAACTTATATTCGAACATTATGTGTTCATATGGGTCTTTTACTTGGTGTCGGTGGTATTATGCAAGAATTACGTCGTGTTCGATCTGGTATTCAATCAGAAGCAGTAAGAAAAATAATTTTAATCGATTCGATTTCCACTTTCATACTAACACATTATGATAACGTTAGATTTTATTTTTTTCAATATTTATGCATTATTGATAGAAGAAATATTAAGATATGAATAGCAGAATTCTTTAAGTTCTTAGAATTTCTCAGGATTGATAGTAGGCCATCTACTTCACAATACCTTGCTATGTTGATTTTTCTTCTTCCTTTTTGAATGTGAGTGTGGCTGAACTGAAGACAGTAAAAGCAAAGCAATAAATAATAATAATAATTACCTATTGCTAAATAATAGTAATGTAGCACTTCTAGTTTTTAATTATAAGTATTTCAACCGATGTTCATCAATTAGACTTAAACTATTCGTCAAAAAGTTCATTTTGTAATTCTACAGTATTAGTAAAAAAAATACCAATGTAGTTTTGTATTTAACTCAAAGCTAAACAGTTGTTTGAATATTCAATGAAGTTCTCTATCAAATGTATTTCATAGATGGACGAATATGAAAGAAAAATTTCTCAATATCAAATACGGTAGTTTTCGAGTTAAAAAAAAAACTTTGTAAAAATTAGTTTATAAGAATATCGTCTTAAAGAGAATAAAATGACGAGTTGCCGAATTTTCTATAAAAGTTCTAAGTATCGGCAAAAATGAAATATATCATAACATTGCAAAAAAAAAAAACGTTTTTCTTTGTAATGCTTATAACTTTTATAGAAAATTCGGCAACCCGTCATTTTATTCTCTTTAAGAGAATACTCTTAAAAAACCTGATTTTCGCACAGTCGTCTAGAGCTTGAAAACGACTGTGTTTGATTTTTGTTTTTTTGTTTTTAGAGAAGTTTATTGGCTATTGAAATGACTATTTAGTTTTGAGTTAAATGCTTGGTATCATAGAAAAAAAGAATCAAAAGAAAAAGTCTAAATTATTTTTTAATCCTCAAAGAATTTACCATTTTGTGCAGAAATATGTATTGCAAATCTTTAGAAGACAAGTTTAGAATTGAATATACACAAAATTTTTTTGTTTTTTTTATTAGGTAGGTATGGTAACAATGCATGATGTAATTGATGCAACATATGCTTATATGCATAATAAAGATGAAAGTTATCTTCGTCGTGTTGTTAAACCATTAGAAGCATTACTTGTATCACATAAACGTATTATTATTAAAGATAGTGCAGTATGTGTTTTTTTTTAAATATCTTTTATTGATTTTGTTTTATTATTTTTGTGATTTTCAAAAAACAAACAAACAGGTAAATGCAGTTTGTTATGGTGCTAAATTATTATTACCTGGTGTACTTCGTTATGAAGATGGAATTGAATTAAATGAACAAATTGTTATAACAACAACAAAAGGTGAAGCCGTTGCATTAGGTATTGCTTTAATGACAACAGCAACAATGGCAACATGTGATCATGGTATAGCAGCAAAAATAAAACGTGTTGTTATGGAACGTGATACATATCCAAGAAAATGGGGTTATGGACCAGTAGTAAGTTTAATAATATAAATAAATCGAAACAAAAAAATAAAAATCTTATCTTATTGTCATTTGTTTATTTAGGCATCAAAAAAGAAATTAATGATTAAAGATGGTATTTTAGGTAAATTTGGTAAACCAACAGAACAGACACCAAAAAATTGGCGAGAAATGCTCTTTGATGTTAGTGCTACACCACCAGCTTCAAAAGTAAATTTTAATAAAAATAAAATTTTTGTATTTTGTTATTAAATATAATGAAAATATTTTAGCGACCACTTGATGAATCCAATTTATCAACAATGTCATTAGATGAATCAAAATCAGAAAAGAAGAAAAAAGAAAAAAAACAAAAAACTGAAGATGATGATAATCAAATGCAAATAACATCAACTATGGAAGAATCAACATTGGCAGAATATTCAGTAAATTTAAAGAAAATCATTTTTAAAAAAAAAATTATTTTTCCCTTTTTCATTTGTTTTTTTAGACACCAAGTGAATCAGCAACCAGTGAAAAAAAACATAAAAAACATAAGAAAAAAAATAAAGATGATTCCGATTAATTAATGAAACATTGTTGTTTTTATTTGTTTCACTTCCATTATTGTTGTTGTTGTTTTTTTTTGTTAGACTCTGACAGCCAGTGTGGCAACAAGAAAAAGAAGAAAATAAAAAAACCTAGTTACAATTTCTTTAGTCTTTGTTTTTATTTAACAAAAAAAAAAAAAAAGAAAATTTTTCTATGCGAAAGAAAAAAAAGTCACGTATTAAGATTTATTGATATTCTTAATTTTCTTTTCTTGTTCCGGATTATTTTATAATAATAATAAAGAAGAATGATTACACATGCTGAACAATTACCAATTGAAATATGGTTATTAGTTTTTCGTCATTTAGAAGCACATGATCTTTTTTATGCATTTCAAAATTTAAATCATTTTTTTAATCAAATACTTTCTTCTAATTATATTTCATTTTATCTTCAATTAAGAGAAAATGATAATAATCATTTGCAATATCCAATTAATCCTTATTGGTCTGATTCAATACTCAATCGTATTCGTTTTCTACAAGCAACTAGTCAAAGTGAACATGATTTTTTTCCTCAATTTCTTCGTTGGCATGTTAAAAAACTTATTCAATTACACAGTTTATCAATTATGATATATCCACGAGATATACCATATATTTGTATAGCTTTAAGAAAATTTCATTGTCTTGAATATCTTTCAATAAAATGTATACCAAATCAAATGTTACTTGAAGCTATACTTGCTGTTCCTACTTTACGTATATGTCATCTATTACTTAGAAAAGTAGTGGTCGATATTAATTATCGTTTAGGTACAAATAGTAATATTAAAAAATTGTTTATCGTTTTCTTTCATAATGTAAATCATTCAATTATTAATTTACTTTTAAGTCATATGCCAAAATTAAACCAACTTGAAATTTGTGGTTCTTATTCTAAATCTGATCGAGTATCATTATTTGCTGAACCATTATTTATTCTTCCAGAACTTGAAATAATTAAACTTAATTTAGAAAATGGTTCTTGTACATCGGATTGTTTCAAATATTTACATAAAATAATGCCTTTTCTAAAAAATTTTTATTTTAATTATTATAATCATTTCTTACATGAAACATTCATTGATTATTTCAATACTTATTGGTGGTCAATTATAGAACAAATTGAAAAAATTAATATTAATATTAATGGTCATATACCTATTAATACTATTAACAACGATATAGAAACAACTTTAGAAAAAAATCGAACATGTTTACTTGCCAAAAATAATCAATCTGATGGACATGTTAATATTACATGGACTGAACAAACTTTAACAAAATTCAAAGTTATTGAAATTACAATTCGAAAATCTTAATTATTTTCTATTCATTTATTTTCGATTTTTTTAATGTAATCAAACATTTTTTTTTTCTTGAAAATAAATAAATGGATTGTGTTTGTTTTCCGACCTATATTTGAATTGTAATCAACAAATTATAATCAATAAGTTGATCTTATTCGTTGTTTCAATTAAAAAGTCAACGAATCCAGAAAGATAAATAAAGAATATAATATTCAAACTCCTTGCTTTATGTTGTTGATTCGTGTATTAATAATTCAAAATATGTATGCAGTGAGTCCGAGTTCCAACTCGAGTTCGGAAACTATCTAAAGAGTTCAGGTTTGGATATTTCTGAGCACCGTCAACTTTATTTTTATAAAGCCTGTTGTCTTTCAATTTTTCGGATTCGTCTAGTAAAAATTTGTGAATAATCATATTATATTAACAATCAGGGGTGTTCAGAGTGAGAAATGACTCCTCCAATCTTGGAAAATTTTCTTTTTTCCACAGCGTTTTATTGGTTTTTTTTTCTGCATACTAATTCTCCTAAAAATTCAGTGAACTTTAGCAGAAATTATTTCAATTAATCTTCTGTTGACATCAGAACACTCTCGCTAACAATAATATTTCACTTTTTTGTTGATTAATTAAAACTTGTTTTACTTTTATTCTTCTAGCAATAAATCATATACTAATTTCCATATAGAAATAAAACTG